AAGTATTGATTGAACTATCAATAATAATAACAAAACTGAGTATTATTGTTATTATTATTGATAGTTCAATCAATACTTCAACACTAATTTTGCTTTGTATAGCAACTAATCTTGGAAACTTCCCGAATGATTCATTTTGTGTTGCTACATAGTAAACCATATGAAAAAATTTTTGACGTACAACTTTTTTTCATTTAGACTCTTCACGGTTTTTGTGAGCTACATTTCTTTGGGTTTGTCTAATACATTTGGTGTGTTTGTCACTCTTTTTGTAATACTTCCTTGTTTTCATTTCTGGATTTTTCACTGATGCCTTAATATACGTCTTCTTGCTCCAATACCTGAAGCAAGACATTCATACTCAATTTCATTGTTAAATTTTTTTTTAAGATAAATTTTTTTTTGTAAAATAAAACTAGGATTCCTGCCAGGAGTAAATGAAGAAAGTAACTTTGGTTTACACTTCATGGACCTAAAATATTTGTTGCATGTCTTTTTTTTTAATCTTAAAAAGTACATTTAAAAAGTCAGTGTGGAATGAAAAAGGTGTAAGGACAATGAACTACATCTGGTTAAAAAGTCAGTGTGGAGTAAAAAAGGTGTAAGGACAATGAACTATATCTGGTTAAAAAGTCGGTGTGGAATGAAAAAGGTGTAAGGACAATGAACTACATCTGGTTAAAAAGTCTGGTGTGGAATGAAAAAGGTGTAAGGACAATGAACTACATCTGGTTAAAAAGTCGGTGTGGAATGAAAAAGGTGTAAGGACAATGAACTACATCTGGTTAAAAAGTCGGTGTGGAATAGAAAAAGGTGTAAGGACAATGAACTATATCTGAATAAAAGTTTGTGCTTTAAGTTTCTATTAGTAGAGTTGGCTCCATAATTTCAAATGACCTTTCTTACGCATTTGATGTGGTCTGCTGAACTTCATAAAGTTGCTACTGTTAGCAATTTTTAAAATGTCCATCTTTTGTTGGGGTTATGAGGAAATGACAAAAGAACACGCAAACCCATATAAGTGCAGTAAAGACGTGTTAAGCAGTTGGTCAGATCTTTGAACAAAAATATTAATAAAGGGTAAAGTTCAAGGTATTTCACACTCTTTTAAATTTAATGGAAGGGTTTTAAGTAAATAAATATTCAAAGAAATGGAGTATAAAATTATTGGCCGATATCTGGTAAATAAATCAATATGATGGAGCCAATAAATGGAGGGAAACAAGATCATAAGTCACGTTCCATACAAATTACATAAATATTTTATAAAATGCAATAGATCTAATTTGGATTTGTATATTTCTTGAAAGCCATTCAAATCTTTTTCTAAAATTAAATCTGATCTGGAGAAAGTGTAACAAATGATCTATTAAAAACAAGTCCCCCACCCTTCCTCACTTATTAGTTTTAATTCCATTAGTCTTAGCACTAGCTTTTTAGCTGTTCAATAATATTGTTATACTTTATGGAATTCCTTATTCATCAAAACTGAAAACCTTAAGTTACTTCTTAGCTAATATTATAATTTTATAATATAGCTAATATTAACTTCCATGTCTATAAAATAAATCTTGATAAACCTCTTTCTTTTCTTCTTCTTTTTTTTGCTGCCAGTTAAATGTTTATCATAATTCTGCCTCTATAAACTATCACAATAACCTTAAGTTACTATTTAAGTTGGTACCTGATTCAAGTCTTATATTAACCATTTTTATTCAAAAATATTTTACTTTTTGATATATATTAGCATTACCTTGGTTATCATGCTTGCATAAACTAAATTTTTTAACAGTAAGCCTAATAACGTATTTATACAGCATTGTTTGGTACCAACAGAACAAGTTTGGTAATTTCAGGCTTACCTAAAGATTATGTAAATTTTCAGAAATTTCAAAAACCAAGTTTATAGGCACTAAACTTGTTCTGATTCAACTATACATAATTACGAATGACTGAGAATAAAAGAAAAATGAAAATTAGTCATCTTCATACATTTAGAATTTCCGAAGAAAAAAAAAAAAATGCTGGTATCTGAAGTTCAGAATTAAGCTTATTAACTTCCAAGCCAAAATAAATCAATCTTCTCATAATTCTAAATAAGCTTCAAATTACTTTTTTGCATCCAGTTAAATGTTTATGATAATTCTTCCTCAATAAGCTTTTTCATGTACATTTTATAACCCCATATCATATAAGGATTAATATCCTTCGATTTCATTTCCACGATATAACACGAAGTCAGCAAATACCAATATTCTAGATTCAACACCGTATAACCAAAGTTCTAACCTTACCTTAGCAGTGACACTCTCCAGGTCATCGTATCCCACCCAAGTTCTATTCTTGTACGCATAAGGTACTTGACTCTCTTTATCGAACACTCGCACAGCTCCATTCTTCACAAAATTGCAAGCCTTTTTGTTTAAAATACAGTGGAATTAAACTTAAAGCTGTAATGTCACAGCACAAGTATAGCATTCAATTATGTTCAAGTAAATAGTCTCGCAAGCCTCCTAAATGTAGCTTTCAATATGTCTTAAGAGACACCTTATGTAGTATTACAGTGTTTGAGAACTGCAAATCTATACAGAATAAAATATGTCACATACGACTTGTGTAATAAAAACTAATATTCATTGCAAACATTCAAACCTGTATATAATTTATCATTACGAGTATCTATATGCAAGTTTCAAAATTCAAAACATCTGTAAGATATGACGTTTTTTATAGTAATGGCTAAGAAATTAATTTTCAGGTAAGACATAAGCTGAGTTCATTTTAAAAGTTTTGAACTATTAATATTGTTTCCTCAACCTGAATAGTTAATATAATATGAACACAGTCTTCATAGTTTAAAAGTATTTCTAACGTTTTAAATACATTAAGTGATCTGATAAAGAAGTTTTTTGGTAAAATTTGTAATAATTATGCTCAGTCATTATTAACCCTGTCACTGCAGCTGAGACGTACATTTTCCAGTGCTCCTATCTCCTCACGCTGCAGCTGGGACGTACATCTTCCAGTGCTCCTATCTCCTCACGCTGCAGCTGGGACGTACATCTTCCAGTGCTCCTATCTCCTCACACTGCAGCTGGGACGTACATCTTCCAGTGCTCCTATCTCCTCACACTGCAGCTGGGATGTACAT